GTTTCTGATGCTCTGCTTTCACTTGTTGGCACGTTAGACATCTTGCTACAAATCTTGCCACGTCTCTTTTCATTCCGCTCCACCAATACTGCCTTTTTAGATCTTGACATATCATGTTTCCCCCCAGATGTACCGCAAATACAGAGTGATGACATTCCTTAAGTACTTTCTCCCTCAGTAACTCGTCATTTGGCAGAAATAATCTACCTTGATACCTTACGCTCCCATCGGAGTGAATCCCCCAAGCTAGCATAGATTCTCCTCATTCCAGGCATCCCTTAATGTAGGTTACTTCTTGGTTGTAACTCTGGGCCTCCATAACTTCACTTATTAACTTCGGCATCACTTTTTGGGTTCCGAGGTAAGCCTTTGTATCTTGAGATTCTACTTGGATTCTAAATTCTTTGAGTGTCTTAACCATATCCCATTCTTTAACGAAAATTTTAGCTATCAATCCTCTCCTCTTGTGACTTAAAGGGTCTGCTACTACATTGGCTTATCGGGATGATATGAGAGAGTGAACTGGAAATCCTCAAGATACTCCATCCATCATCTCTGTCTCAAGTTGAGGTCCTTTTGTGTAAATAGATACTTCAAACTCTTGTGATCTGTGAAAATCTCAAATTGTTCCCCATACAGGTAATGTCGCCATTGCTTTAGGGCAAAAACTATGGCCGCTAATTCCAAGTCATGTGTTGGGTAGTTACGCTCATGTGGTTTTAAGTGCCTGGATCCATACGCGATTACCTTTCCATTTTGCATGAGCACGCAATCTAACCCTTCCTTAGACGCATCACAATACACAGTGTACCCCACTTCTCGTTCCCGGATGGTCAAACTTGGCGCACTAGTTAATCTTTTCTATAGCTCTTGGAAGGATTTTTCGCAAGCTTTGTCCCACTCATACTTTACTCCTTTTTGCGTCAAACGAGTCATTGGTCTAGCTAGTTTGGAGAATCTTGGATGAACCTTCGGTAGTAACCAACCAATCCTAAGAAACTGCGAATTTCTGACACGATTTTCGGTTGTCTCCAATCTAAGACTGCTTCCACCTTAGTTGGATCCACCGCAATCCCATTCTCAGACACTACATGCCCTAAGAAATTCACTTCATTCAACCAAAACTCATATTTGCTTGCCTTGGCATATAACTGATTGTCCCTAAGAACTTGAAGGACAATCCTTAAATGTTGTTGATGCGCTTCTTCAGACCTTGAATATACCAGGATGTCATCAATGAACACTACTACAAACTGGTCAAGATATGGTGTGAATTGACTTGATAAATTATTAATTGAAACAGGTTTCTAATACCATTAAAAACTGTTAATTGACTTGATAATTTATTACAGCTGTCTATATACAAATGGGCTGTATATAAACAAAGATATGTATATATATATTAGGGTTTTGAAAGCCTAGCTTTGGTCAAAAAGTGGGTTTCATTTGACAGATTTCAATATATAATATTTTTTTTTCTGGGGTTTCGAGAGGGAATTTGAAGTTTAAATTCTCTGGAAATGGCGATTTGATGTGATTTTGAGGGTTTCACTGAGTTCTAGAAATAGTGAAAAGTGTAATATGTGCTGATTTTGAGGGTTGAAATCTTTTGTTGGGGAGCTCTGAGATTGAGGTGGATGAATGGTGGTGAGTTTTGGGTTCTTTTGTGTGTGCTTCTGGGTTGGTGGTTGTTCAATTTGGTAATTTGAGATCGAAAAAGCTCAAAATCTATATTGGTAGCTCTAAGAAGAAGATGGGTTTTGAATTATTGTTAGGGTTTCGTTATGTTTATTGAACATTTGAATGAATTAAACCTGAAGCCTGGTGGATGTGGAAGATTTGGGGAACTTTGACAGAGATTTGTGTAGAACTGAAGGGGTTTCTTTAGATATCAGTAGCTCCGAGAGTAAGATCATTGAACGTGGTTGATTCGGAGGCCAGACTGGTCTTTGGACCTGTGGGCAACAAGGTACAGAGGTTGGGGAGTGCACGAAAACCCATGATAAAGACACTGAGAAATGAAGAGAATTCGCTGGAGGAGGTTACGGCATTGGCAGAAGAGAGTGATGGTCATCCATCACATTCAGTTAGTATTCCGTCGGCACTTAGTAGGCAAGAGCATTTACTGCATTCTAATTTATCACTCAATGTTTCATGTTCGTCTAATGCATTTTCGGATTCGTTTCATAGTTGTGCATCAACTAGTAGGATATATACGAGAAATAGTATGCCCGTCCGTAGGAAGCAATTGGCCATGAAGTCAAAAATTAGTGCATCTGATGCCATTTCGGAGGCTCTACCTGGCAGCTTACAACCCAAGAAAAGGTGTGCCTGGGTGACACCAAATACTGGTAGGTTCTTTTTGGTTTGATTCGTTGAAAGTATGTGTACTGTATTTCATGTTTGATTTCTCATGACGAAATTATCAATACTAGTAATTTTCTGGCTAGGCATATTTTGACATATGAAAGAAGCTGCTCTTAGTTGGCTAGCAACATGGCTTTGTTTCATGTTGCTGTTTAATATATTAAAATGAAGGTACTTGGCCAATCTGTTGAATTATGATGTAGGACTTCATTGAATTTGTTTTTGAGAATTAAACCACATTGGGCAACACTTTGCATCATATGTGCCATGGTGTTATTAATATCTTCTTGGAACGTATGTTTTGTTTAACGTAGGCTTGGTTTGGGTCAACATGAGCCCAGAACCGTGACTAATGCTGAATCTAATCTTTTGTGATATGTGATGAGTATGTCTCTGACATTTTATGTTGTTAGTCTGGTCTGAAGAAAGTATATTTCATTTATTTTAATTTATGTCTTATTGAATAGTTGTAGTTTTTTTTTTTTTTTTTTTTTTTATTTGCCATTGTAGTATTGAAAACTACTCGGTAAAACTGTAGCTGGTATGCCATCTGTTTAGAATTCTTAGCCTGTTGCTCTATAGCTGATGTATTGGTTGAGTTCTCTGTATGCATCATGATCTATGGTATATTTGCAAATAGATGTGTGATTTAATTTCATCTTATTTGTCTGCTTCATATTGAAAGTGCAAAGTTCTAATTTTGAACTTTTTGGTTAAGAAGTTTGAATTCATGCAACTTTTGTGTTTTTTACTTCCATTGTTTTGAAGGTAAGCAATCTAAAGGCAATATAATATTTTTATTCACGCATTACACCATATCCCATGGAAATTTCCATTATGTGGCAATGGAGGAAATCATTTTTTTTTTATATTAGTAGCATTTTGTTGGATACTATTTTATCATCTCTCAAAATTTTCACTGTCATTTGTCTTTACCAGACCTCAATTTATCCTACTTTAAGAGTTTCAGATGCATTTGGTTGTTCTTAAAATGTTCTTTCTATTTGTCTTGTTTTATTGACTGCATTTTACAGGTCTTTATTTTGAATACTCCTTATTTGGCTTCTGGAGCAGATCACACATTTGTATTTTAAAATTGCCTTTTAGGTTTTGGAACCTCAGAATCACATTGGAATCATACAATTTGACAAAAATAGGTGTGTCTTGTAGGGAAAAAGCTGGTAGCATCACGTTGTTCTGCATCATGAAGTTGCCCACTGTTTGCAAGTCTGTCAACTTGTTCGCCATGTCCATCAGTTCCTCATCTCTTCTCAGGCACCTATCCTTCCATACCTGGACATCGCCTTCGTGATTGTACTCATCTTGACTACCCTTTGTATTCCCATTTCAGCCCCTAGCAACATTGTTTGTCTCGGGGTCGACCTCTTGCGCTTTATCATTATTGTTCCCAGTATTAGGACCCATGTGTTCCTCTTCCTCACTGTAAATGTCAATCTCCGATCCTCACTTCTTGTTCGTTGTTGGCTATCTATTCTATACTAAGTTCCTATAGACGGCGCCAAATTATGGGTGTTGATTTCCAACAACACAACCAAATAGGAAACTTAGCTGGAGAGCACGCGGAAGAATAGATTAAGCCAATCATCTGCTAACAAGAATATGAGAATATCGTGGCAGTTCTTCTACCTGGAGGCACTCCGATGATCAAGTCAATTAACTTATCTCTCAAAGATATCAAACAAGTACTGAATTCACTGAAAAATAAAGCGTACCTTAGACCCACAATGGTGCCTTACTTTTATAGCTAGTAGTGTCCTAGTCCCCGAGAAGTCTCACTTCATAGGACTCAAGCACAATGCTCATCTAGAACTCTGAGTTACATAGGAATAAACTCCTCGAGCTTTATCCTTATTCGGACTAAGAGTCTACCCTTATCTAGGACTCTTGTACCTTACCCAAGTATCTCGGATTCTGCATTACCGCATCGAATATCGGCAACGCCGCAATCATCTCGGCAAACATGACCCGCCCACATGGCACCTCGGCCGACATCTCAGAGGCACCATGGTCACGTAGCGTCATTCTCAAAATACTTCCCCACAAATATAATACAAATTAATTTTACATAATATTTTTCATATATATAACTACTAATTTGTAACAAAATTCCAATTTTAAATTTCTCTCATTTTTATTTTGATATTTCATTAGAGAATTAAAATATATATATATATATATATATTAACTATAGCGAAATAGAACAATTTCAAAAACGAATTATAAATTCAAAATTTAATCTGTGATTAGCGGATTAAACGGTGCAAATCAATGTGATTTTAACGGATTAGACAATATTTTACACAATTCTACCCAAGACTAAGACTGACAAATGTCTCCCCAGTATTTTGAAATTAAACAAAAAAAAATAAAAATAAAGGATCTCTTTAAATAAGAGAGAAATAAGCCCAAAACCAGGCTAAGTCACGCCTTCTCCCACATGTCTATTTGCACCATCAATCTTTGATTTTAATAGTAATGACACGATAGTGAAAACAATGCTACAATCATTCCACACATTAATCTCCATCATCCATTCCCACTGAGGAATTACAAAATTAACACTGCATATATTAATAGGGAATCTGTTAAACATAGTATAATACCAGTTCATGAATTTCTAAGTTCTTTCAGGTCAAACACCAAGACAAGTCCATGTTTGCCAAAGTTTTTAACACAAGGCACTGTCATTAAACATGCAAGGAGGTCCTTTTCATGTACAAAAATTGCTCGTGTTGTGAGGGGAGCCCAGCAGACACTATCCTCCCCTGTAAAGCTTGGTTTGAACCGAAAAATGCATATGTATGGTGTTTTTTTCCTCCTTTACATCAACTGAACTGATGATCACTTTGATGTCTCAAAGCTTGGTTTGGTTGCCTTCCGTTTTTGAGCACTCTCAGAAAGAGACTATCAGATTAGTTAAAAATCACCCACTTGAAATAACAACCTTCCATCGAGGACAAATTGATCCATACCTAACTTGGGCAAAGTAGCATCTTCTTCTGGAAGTTGTGTAGTGGAACAAATTCGTGTTATTAGGAACAATCTCTCAATGGTCATCTTCATTTGTTCCTAGGCAGTTGGATAAGAGTGCTTCCATTGATTCATACTGAGAAATGGAAGAGAAACTATCATCAGTACAAGAAATATGGCAACCTTTGCAAAGATGATTTTGTGGTAGAGAGCATTATTGTCACTACTTACTTAACATCCACATAAGAGGCAGTATCGATATTCCTCTCTCAGCTTTATCAATATATCTTGCAAATCCTGCATTAGTATATGGTTTGATCAACATCCACTAGAAATGTACAGGGAATGAGCTTAAGAATCAAAAGCAAACAATGACAAGAAAGATAAAGACGCAGTGCACTGCTGTCATACTGTTAGCGCATAAATTCCTACTTTTACTCGCCTCAATCAGTTTGTAATTCACTTAACTTGGTAGCATAAGTAGGTCTGTCTTGGTTTGCATACAGATTAAGCTAGCTTTCACCCAGTTCAATATGCAGACTGGTGCATATAATGAATAGACAGCTAAAAAAAAGGAGACTGGTGCATATAATGAATAGACAGCTAAAAAAAATGAGTTACAAAAATGAAAATTACATGGAAAGGGAGGGGAGGATATCGCCCAAATTATTAAGTCCATTAAAAGGGTAACCCAGTGCACGAAGGCCCCACTAAAGCAGGGTTTGGGGAGGACATGGTGTATGCAGTCTTACCCCTATTTCTAGAGAGAGTGTTGCCGGGACTCGAACTTGCACCACAAGGCCGCTAATGGCAAGCCTTACCATTGGGCGCTAACCCGCCTTTTAGTTTGCTATTAAGAAAACGCTGCAACTTGAAGATGCCAGCTAGCTTATCAAGTCCTACTTTCAATTTGGTTGAAATTTGAAGGGTCTTCATAGCAAGGGGAGGCTAACATTGGTCATTTAGAGCCACAATCATTGGACCAAGGGAGAGAAAGGAGAAAAAAGAACCCAAAAAAAAAAAAAGAGGCAGCCATCAGAAAATATTCTTTTGCCTACCTAATAAAACATGAGACATTTGCAGAACAAAACCATATCTTTATAACGGTCTTATTGAAGAACATGAATTAAAGGCAAGAATTACACCTTAAATTCCAATTGCATCGCATTTAAAACTAGGGTGTGATGCGATGCTACTAATTGGATGACACAAAAATTGGAATAAACAGTTGGGAAAAAAAGATCTTGGAACGTTAAGAGATATACACTTTAACCCAAAAATAAAATAAAATATGTAAGAACCCTACTAGTTCAGAAACCGAACATGAGGAGGCAATATTTGTGTTATTGTAGAGAAAAGGGGAACCTGTAGGAGAAGGGCCACTTTAGAATCACACTTGAATATCCTCATCAACTAAACTAGAGGTTTTATAAAACAATCAAGCGTGGGCACTGGATCAAATTGATAGAACTAGGTTCTGGATTAAATATCTGGACAAAGCATTAAGTGCCAGGTCAAACCCTAAATCTGTTAGCAATAACTTTCATAAAGCTCTCAAGCATTCATTCATTGAAGTGATATTCTGCTTTGCCTTGTACCCAAGCACAAAAATAAATAAAGACAAATCGAGAGAGAGAGAGAGAGAGAGAGAGCCGTAGGAGAGGAAGTGTTGTTGAGAACCCAAATTGCTTTGTGTGTTGAGGGCATGGAGAGAAGCAATGCAATACCAATGAAAACTGCAATTCCTGACCTTCACCCGAAATTGAAGGTTGCTTGTTGTAGCCTACCTAATTCTAGACTTCTAGTTCCATGGAGTTCCTGTACAATGAAAAGCAAAGAAGTACAAACACTTTTAAGATCGTGGTGTGTCTGTGTCAAACACCGCCACTGGTAGGACACATGCCCAAACACATCCTATCATTTTTAATTTTTTTTACACCCGAACAAACTTTGGATACTTAGGGAAGACGTGTTCATCACTTAGACACACATGAAACATATTACAAATTTAAACAAAATAACTTTAGCTCAAATGATAAAAATACTATATAAAATTATATCTATTAATCCCCTTCCTTTAAATTTTAAACTTTAAAACTAGTGTTGTGTTTGTATTTTTCATTATCTTTAAATGAAATATTTATATATATGACATATAATAAAGGAAATAATTAATCGATGTTAACCCATTGTGATTTGGCCTCAGGGCCTGTTTGATTGGTTGGAGTAATAGTGATAGGATTAATAATCCATGGGATTAACCATTGGATTGACTGGCCAACTCAATTAGTAGAATAAATATGTGTGGGATTATGAATGCCTACCTTCGTATGGTATTGAATATCTCACGATTTTGTAGGATTACAAGTCCTACGTATTACTAAGCCTGCCATCATTTATGTCATAACTACCAAAGTGCATTGGAGATTGATACTTGATTACCAGTTCCTGTTCAATGTGCACAATTTAAATCAAAACATATTTATTTTGACTATATGTATAGGAGCAGCAAAATTAGCTAAAGTACACACAAATAAAGCACAATCATGTATATATGTGAGAAACAAATATGGCCGTACCTCTTCGGCTATTATCTCCTCTTCCTCCTCTTCATTTTCGGCATCCTCTTCATCTTTTTCAGCCTCTGCCACCACCTCCTTATTCTCCAACTGCTCAAATGCCGCATTCGCCCTGTGATAATTCACCACAATCTTCCGGCTCCGCCATTGCTCTTTGTGGCGGCACCCAAAATCCTCCATCAACGCCTCCTCCTTCCCCCTCTCCCACTCCATCCTCTCCTATTCCCTCTTCCTCTTCTCCTTTCTCGAGTCCTCCTGACCAATCCCAACTCGAGTTTGTCGAATCTCAAGCCCCACGGGCTCCGCAAGACCAGAACCCTCCTTCCCCAGCGTGGACCCTAGTGTGTAACCTATCTGTTTCAACAACTTGAAACCAATGTTGGATTGGGGAATCGCTGATTCTAAGCTTGCTAGGGTATTTCGGTCCTCTTCTTCTTGCGTTTTCTCTCTTGAGTTTTCGTTGTTCTTGCCAGTTTAGGGTTTTGGGTTTCTTGACTGAAGGTTGGGAAATTTGGGTATTGTTGGCAGAGACCTGAATGTAATTATTGTTATTGTTGTTCAGAACGTATGTATCTATATCTATTGTGAAGATATATCTATATCTATATACATATACATATGAAACTTGGAACTAACCTTTGCCGAAGATTTTGAGGGGGTAGTGGTTTCGGGAGGAAGGAACTGAGAGAGGTCGCCTATGTAGTCTTCTTCTTTTTCTTCTTCTTCTTCGTCAGACGGTTGTTTGTTTGTTGTTTCTGCCATTAGTGAGAGAGCTTGGGATAGAGATTCTAGTCTGTTCTTGTTTATTTTTTATTAGGTAAATTACACTGACATCCTCCGAGATTTATTTTTATTACAGTTCCCCCCTCACCTTTTGGAAATTACATCTCCCCCCTGAGGTTTAAAGTTTCATTACAGATTCCCCCCAACCTTTTTAATTTTTTTAAATACCAATTTTACCCTCATTGGATAAATTACATTGACACCCCTTACATTTTAGAAATTACAATCATCTCCCTAAGGTTTAAAGTAATATTACCAATTGCTCCCTCGGTTAGTATTAGTTGGAGAAAAAATTCATTGAAAAAAAAATTTTAATTGGAAAAATTTTAATTGAAAAAAAAATTTGTTAGTAAATTTTTTAAATTTTTGTTTAAAAACCAACGTAAACTCATTTTTTGAATTTACATTTTTTTCTCAAATTTACAAACTGAGACAACCATTTATAAACTAAAAAAATTATCAAACAAGTTTTCATGACAGTTTTTTAAATTTTTGTAAATATAAATTGAAAACTGAAAACGAAATGGTTACCAAACAAGTTTCAGATGGTAAAAATGTCGGAAAATTAACAAATAATTAAATAAGTTACCAACATAAGAAATGACTTATCAAAATATTCTTAGGCTATATATGGTTTGATTTTTAGAAATTTTTTTAAAAAGTTAAAAATTAATTTGGTTAAGAAATAAAAATAAAAAATAATTTTCATTTCGTTTAAAAAATAATTTATTTTTTATTTTTTATTTCTTAACCAAATTAATTTTTAATTTAAAAAAAAATCTAAAAATCAAACCATACATAGCCTAAGAATCTTTTGATAAGTCATTTCTTACGTTGGTAACTTATTTAACTATTTGTTAATTTTACGACATTTTCACCATCTGAGACCTATTTAGTAACCATTTCGTTTTCAGTTTTCAATTTATATTTACAAAAATTTAAAAAACTGTCATAAAAACTTGTTTAATAATTTTTTTGGTTTATAAATAGTTGTCGTAGTTTGTGAATTTGAGAAAAAAACGTAAATTCAAAAAATGAGTTTACGTTGATTTTTAAACAAAAATTTAAAAATTTTACTAATAATTTTTTTTTTCAATTAATATTTTTTTTTCAATGAATTTTTTTTTCAACTAATACTAATCGAGGGGGCAATTGGTAATGTTACTTTAAACCTTAGGGAGGGGATTGTAATTTCTAAAATATGAGGAGTGTCAATATAATTTATCCAATGAGAGTAAAATTGGTATTTAAAAAAATTAAAAGGGCTGAAGGGAGAATCTGTAATGAAACTTTAAACCTCAGGGGGAGATATAATTTCTAAAAGGTAAGGAAAAATTGTAATAAATATAAACGTCAGAGGGTGTCAGTGTAATTTACCCTTTTTTTTTTTTTTGTGTGTGTTGTTTGTATTTTTGTCAAATTCCTCCGGACTTAGTTTTTATTTTATTTATTTATTTTTCATTTGTCTTTTAGTGAGTTTGGTTTGATTGATGTGGCATTAGCCACACCATGCGGGGTCATTCTGTGGGTTTTAAAAGTGTGGGGTTGAAACATTTTTCTTGTTTAAATTTTTAAATCAACTTCTTGCACATTAATTTGGACAATCATTTTAAGTTAAGCTTAGCGAAGCTGAAATAAAAATAAAATAAAATAAAATATTAATGACTGAAATGACGAATTTAATAATTAAAATTAATAATTAATAATTAATTTCATTTTTATCCCTTAAACTATTACTGATTTTATATTTCAAATCTAAATTATTGATTTTTCTATTTAATCTCTAAAGTTTCTTTTTTCTATTCATGGTAAAAAGTTTTACAACTTAATTGTGGGGTATATTTTATTTAAATAATAAAAAAATGAGTATTTTGTTGTAAGACTTAGATTGCAATTGTTTTTTTTTGGGGGTAATAAATTAGGCTTCATGGGCTATTAATTTATGTAATCATTTTTATTTGGCTAATATGAATATGAATTAAAAACTTTGGATAAATTACACTGATACCCCTGAGATTTCTATTTAATACAAATTCTTCCTTACATTTGAGAAATTACATTCTCCTCCCTAAAATTTGTCATCTCATTACAAATTACTCCCTAAATTGCTGATTTCATGCTCTAAATTTTTCTAAATTACCATTTTACCATTTTTCGTATCATTTCTTTTACCTATCATCATGACTACATTCTATAATTTTCCATCATTAAATTTTACCTAAACATATTCTTATTGAGTAATAATATACAAATATAAATTTTATATAGAATTTTCATACACAATGATATAATTTAATAGTGACCTTTCACTTTAAAACCAAACAACCATAAACATAATTTATATTTACAACAATATCACTATCACTACATTTTTATGATTTTTTTTGTATAAATTTTTATAAATAAAAATAAATTTTCATTTTTATTTCCACCATTATATTTAGATTAGATCAATTTAATCTAGATATATTCAAAAAGTATAAAACTTGTACAAAACATTTTTCAAAAAATCAATTAAATACAATAAAATAAGATAATGTATTGAATATTTGTATTTTGATATTTTTTGTATTTGGTGAATTTTAAAAAAAAATTATAAAATATTATACTTCTTAAATATATCTAGATTAGGTGTATTTAAAAAATAAAAAATTACTTAAAATATTAAAAAAAATCAATAAAAATAAAAAATAAGAAAAACTTAATTTTTTGTGTGAGTTAAATTAAAGAATATGATTATTATTTCTTTTGAAATGACATGAATACAATATCTATATTATTTTATTATTTTATGTGTATAAATGTTAATGGGCAAATATGTCATTTTAATCTGATAAGAGAGTGAGTGTAATTTTTCAAATGTAAGGAAGAATATATATTAAATAGAAACCTCAACGGGTCAGTATAATTTATCCTAAAAACTTTAAGGATAAATAGATAAAATTGAAAGTTTAGAAGTAAAATAAAAAAAAATGAGAATAGTATAAGAGATAAAAGTGAAATTAATAACAATAATAATAATAAAAAAGTTAAAGGACAAAAAAAAGTGAAATTAATTTTTTATTTTATTTTTGTGTAGATTGATAGTGAATTAAACCTTAAAAAATAAAAAAAAAATAAAAAAAAAAGGAGGAGGCGAGGAGGAGGAGGAAAGCAAGAACAGACTAGAGTCTCTCTCCCAAGCTCTCTCACCAATGGCAGAAACAACAAACAAACAACCGTCTGACGAAGAAGAAGAAGAAGATTACATGGGCGACCTCTCTCAGTTCCTTCCTCCCGAAACCACTGCCCCCTCAAAATCTTCGGTAAAGGTTAGTTCCAAGTTTCATATGTATATGTATATAGATATAGATATATCTTCCCAATAGATATAGATACATACGTTCTGAACAACAATAACAATAATTACGTTCAGGTCTGTGCCAACAATACCCAAATTTCTCAACCTTCAGGCAAGAAACCCAAAACCCTAAACTGGCAAGAACAACGAAAACTCAAGAGAGAAAATAGGCAAGAAGAAGAGGACCGAAATACCCTAGCAAGCTTAGAATCAGCGATTCCCCAATCCAACATTGGTTTCAAGTTGTTGAAACAGATGGGTTACACACCAGGGTCCACGCTGGGGAAGGAGGGTTCTGGTCTTGCGGAGCCCGTGGGGCTTGAGATTCGGCGGACTCGAGCTGGGATTGGTCGGGAGGACTCGAGAAAGGAGAAGAGGAAGAGGGAAGAGGAGAGGATGGAATGGGAGAGGGGGAAGGAGGAGGCGTTGATGGAGGATTTTGGGTGCCGCCACAAAGAGCAATGGCGGAGCCGGAGATGTTTATATTGATGGGTTTAATGTTATTATTTTGAGGGCGTGACAGACAGTCAATCCAATGGTTAATCCCATGGATTATTAATCCTATCACTAGTACTCCAACCAATCAAACAAGCCCCGAGGCCAAATCACAATGGGTGAACATTGATTAATTTTTTCCTTTATTATATGTCATATATATGAATATTTCATTTAAAGATAATGAAAAATATAAACACAACACTAGTTTTAAAGTTTAAAATTTAAAGGAAGGGGATTAATTGATATAACTTTACATAGTATTTTTATCATTTGAGCTAAAGTTATTTTGTTTAAATTTGTAATATGTTTCATGTGTGTCTAAGTGATGGGCACGTCTTCCCTAAGTATCCAAAGTTTGTTCGGGTGTAAAAAAATTTAAAAATGATAGGATGTGTTTGGACATGTGTCCTACCAGTGGCGGTGTTTGATACGGACACACCACGATCTTAGAAGTGTTTGTACTTCTTTGCTTTTCATTGCGCAGGAACTCCATGGAACTAGAAGTCTAGAATTAGGTAGGCTACAACAAGCAACCTTTAATTTCGGGTGAAGGTCAGGAATTGCATTTTTCATTGGTATTGCATTGCGTCTCTCCATGCCGTCAACACACAAGGCAATCTGGGTTCTCAACAACACTTCCTCTCCTAGGGCCCTCTCTCTCTCTCTCTCTCTCTCTCTCTCTTGATTTGTCTTTATTTTATTTTTGTGCTTGGGTACGAAGCAAAGCAGAATATCATTTCAATGAATGAATGCTTGAGAGCTTTATGAAAGTTATTGCTAGCAGATTTAGGGTTTGACCTGACACTTAATGCTTTGTCCAGACATTTAATCCAGAACCTAGTTCTATCAATTTGATCCAATACCCATGCTTGATTCTTTTACAAAACCTCCAGTTTAGTTGATGAGGATATTCAGGTGTGATTCTAAAGTGGCCCTCCTCCTACAGGTTCCCCTTTTCTCTACAATAACACAAATATTGCCTCCTCATGTTTGGTTTCTGAACTAGTAGGGTTCTTACATATTTTATTTTATTTTATTTTATTTTTGGGTTAAAGTGTATATCTCTTGACGAACCAAGATTTTTTTTTCCCAACTGTTTATTCCAATTTTTGTGCCATCCAATTAATAGCATCGCATCACACCCTAGTTTTAAATATGATGCAATTGGAATTGGAGGTATAATTCTTGGCTTTAATTCCTGTTCTACAGTAAGACCGTTATAAAGATATGGTTTTGTTCTGCAAATGTCTCATGTTTTCTTAGGCAGGCAAAAGGATATTTTGTGATGGCTGCCTCTTTTTTTTTTTGGGTTCTTTTTTCTCCTTTCTCTCCCTTGGTCCAATGATTGTGGCTCTAAATGACCAATGTTAGCCTCCCCTTGCTATGAAGACCCTTCAAATTTCAACCAAATTGAAAGTAGGACTTGATAAGCTAGCTGGCATCTTCAAGTTGCAGCGTTTTCTTAATAGAAAACTAAAGGGCGGGTTGGCGCCCAATGGTAAGGCTTACTGTTAGCGGCCCTGTGGTGCAAGTTCGAGTCCCGACAACACTCTCTCTAGAAATAGGGGTAAGACTGCATACACCTTGTCCTCCCCAAACCCTGCTTTAGTGGGGGCTTCGTGCACTGGGTTACCCCTTTAATGGACTTAATAATTTGGGCGATATCCTCCCCTCCCTTTCCATGTAATTTTCATTTTTGTAACTCTTTCTTTTTTTTAGCTGTCTATTCATTATGTGCACCAGTCTGCATATTGAACTGGGTGAAAGCTAGCTTAATCTGTATGCAAACGAAGACAGACCTACTTATGCTACCAAGTTAAAGTGAATTGCAAACTGATTGAGGCGAGCAAAAGTAGGAATTTATGCGCTAACAGTATGACAATAGTGCACTGCGTCTTTATCTTTCTCGTCATTGTTTGCTTTTGATTCTTAAGCTCATTACCTGTACATTTCTGGTGGATGTTGATCAAACCATATACTAATGCAGGATTTGCAAGATATATTGATAAAGCTGAGAGAGGAATATCAATACTGCCTCTTCTGTGGATGTCAAGTAAGTAGTGACAATAATGCTCTCTACCACAAAATCATTTTTGCAAAGGTTGCCATATTTCTTGTAATGATGATAGTTTCTCTTCCATTTCTCAGTATGAATCAATGGAAGCACTCTTATCCAACTGCCCAGGAACAAATGAAGATGACCATTGAAAGATTGTTCCTAATAACACGAATTTGTTCCACTACATAACTTCCAGAAGAAGATGCTACTTTGCCCAAGTTAGGTATGGATCGATTTGTCCTCGATGGAAGGTTGTTTATTTCAAGTGGGTGATTTTTAACTGATCTGATAGTCTCTTTTTGAGAGTGCTCAAAAGCGGAAGGCAACCAAACCAAGCTTTCAGATATCAAAGTGATCATCAGTTCAGTTGATGTAAAGGAGGAAAAAAACACCATACATATGCATTTTTCGGTGCAAACCAAGCTTTATAGGGGAGGATAGTGTTTGCTGGGCTCCCCTCACAACACGAGCAATTTTTGTACATGAAAAGGACCTCCTTACGTGTTTAATGACAGTGCCTTGTGTTAAAAACTTTGGCAAACATGGACTTATCTTGGTGTTTGACTTGAAAGAACTTAGAAATTCATGAACTGGTATTATACTATGTTTAAAGATTCCCTATTAATATATGCAGTGTTAATTTTGTAATTCCTCAGTGGGGATGGATGATGGAGATTAATGTGTGGAATGATTGTAGCATTGTTTTCACTATTGTGTCATTACAATTAAAATCAAAGATTGATGGTGCAAGTAGACATGTGGGAGAAGGCGTGACTTAGCCTGGTTTTGGGCTTATGTCTCTCCTATTTAAAGGTATTTCATTTTTGTTTTGTTTTGTTTTTGTTTTTGTTTTTTTTTTTTTTTTTTTTTTTTGTTTTAATTTCAAAAGACTGGGGAGCCATTTGCCAGTCCTAGTCTTGGTAGAATTGTGTAAAATATTGTTTAATCCGTTAAAATCACATTGATTTGCACCGTTTAATCCGCTAATCACAGATTAAATTTTGAATTTATAATTCGTTTTTGAAATTGTTCTATTTCGCTATAGTTAATATATATATATATATATATATTTTAAATCTCTAATGAAATATCAAAATAAAAATGAGAGAAATTTAAAAATGGAATTTTGTTACAAATTAGTAGTTATATATATGAAAAATATTATGTAAAGTTAATTTGTATTATATATGTGGGGAAGTATTTTGAGAATGACACTACGTGACGATGGTGCCTCTGAGATGTCAGCCGAGGTGCCATGTGGGCGGGTCATGTTTGCCGAGATAATTGCGACGTTGCCGATATTCGATGCGGTAATACCGGAATACGAGATACTTGGGTAAGGTACAAGAGTCCTAGATAAGAGGAGACTCTTAGTCCGAATAAGGATAAAGCTCGAGGAGTTTATTCCTATGTAACACAGAGTTCGAGATGAGCATTGTGCTTAAGTCCTATGAAGTGAGACTTATAGGGGACTAGGACACTGCTAGCTATAAAAGTAAGACACCATTGTGGGTCTAAGGTATGCTTTATTTTTCAGTGAATTCAGTACTTGTTTGATATCTTTGAGAGATAAGTTAATTGACTTGATTATTGGAGTGCCTCCGGGTGGAAAAACCGCTACGATATTCTCATATTCTTGTTAGCAGATGGTTAGCTTAATCTATTCTGCCGCGTGCTCTCCAGCTAAATTTCCTATTTGGTTGTGTGGTCGGAAATCAACACCCACAATTTGACGCTGTCTATGAGAACTTAGTATAGAATAGATAGCCAACAATGAACAGGAAGTGAGGATCGGAGATTGACCTTTACAGTGAGGAAGAGGAACACATGGGTCCTAATACTGGGAACAATAATGAAAAAGTACAAGAGGTTGACCCCGAGACAAACAATGTTGCCAGGGGCTGAAATGGGAATAAGAAGGGTAGTCAAGATGAGTACTATCACGAAGGCGATCTCCAGGTATGGAAGGATAGGTGCCTGAGAAGAGATGAGGAACTGATGGACATGGCGAACAAGTTGACAGACTTGCAACAGTGGGCAACTTCATGATGCAGAACAACGTGATGCTACCAGCTTTTTCCCTATAAGACACACCTTTTAATACTATTTTATGATTCCAACGTGATGCTACTCAGTAAATTCCCAACGTAATTGAAACATGCGAGGGAAATAGATAAAATTTTAGTTTATATTTCATTCACATTTCCCTCATCTAACCTTTTACTTTGCCTTCTCAAATCCTTACCTAAATCCATTATCCAAACACAGCCTTAATGACACTGCATAAAATTGGCTTGATAGATTTTATATTTATTTCCTTGAAATGGTGGGAACAGATCCCATAATATAGCTAGTCCGATTAGTTTGATTAAGACTATATGAGTTTTGATTTATTTGTTTGGAAATAATTGCGAGATTGTTATCCATGTTTACACCACATATTCCAACTCTCTAAAGTTACTAAAGTTCAACCAGACTTGGGAGTTTAAAATAAAATTTGCCTAGAATATCATGATGAGCCATGATGTCCTTTCCATTATGGACCACTTCTGTTTTTGTCATTGGTGGAAAGTAGTTGAATCATGGTACGGACCATTATACAATTGTCACGATTTGTTTAGGACAAAATTTAGATGGTCTGAGCTCTATAATCCTACAATTTCATTAATGATTTATGGTAACCTAAATAGTCTTCTTGTTGATTATGTCAGCTAAACTACTTCTTGCCAAAGAAGTTAAACAAATGCCATAATGTCACACTTCATACTCTTATTATGATTATTATGCTACGACTAACTTTTTGCAGGTTTTACTGATGCCAGGTCATAGATGAATTCAGGTCATTCAACAAATATATCTGGAGCTTTGTGAACTACAAGCCTATAATTAGCAGATTCCGTTACCCTCGCCAGATTCCCGTTAGCTGCAGTGAATCTTACCATGAAGTTGGTTGAGTTCATTTGTAACCTTCTATTGCTTTAGATGCAGTTCATGTTTACAACTGCAAGTCATATTTATGTGAAGTGTTTTTTACCCCTTCCCTAATCTGTTGATAGATTAAGTTGTAGATAGCCAACTGGTTTGAGGTAATTGTCACTTGGTGCTAGACTGACAAGATTACCTTGCGATTGAATATGGATAAGCCTTGATTGCCCTACAACCTCTTAAGTAACTTCCATCTTGCTACCATCCAACACAAACGCATGCGTAAGAGCGCGCGCACACACAGAGTGCATCAGTAGTCCCCTCATCTTCACTGAAAATATTTGTGACCGGCCCCATAGGAGCCACATCATCTCCCATTACGGGGTCTTCACTCTCCACATCTTAAACCCTCAGGAGTGCCTTGATATATTAAGTAATTCGTTAGGGTTATTTGCCTAGCCTAAGCACGGGTTTATCAACCACCAAATGTGGTAGATCGGTGCACTAGTGCGCTCGATGCCTAACTGCAGCCCTAAACAAGAAGTTACTGAGTCAAAATATGGGGAGCGGCCTGAGCATCGCTGAGTGACCTAGCGATCCTCACCCTCACCCTTGCTATCGCCCATGCCTAGTCGGCGGCGGAGCCAAGCCACCCTCGCCCTTAACCATGCTCACTTGGTGAGCCATGGTTCAAGACCATATAGCTTGGCTAGGATGAGCTCTTGCCTAGCCATAGCCATAGCCATAGCCACCCTTGTTCGGTAGCAAAATGGTTCAGCTCTTAGCTTCTCCATGTTTTTTGTATTGGACACCTAGCACTTCGACAAGGGTGTGAGATATGTGTTTGATACTTTTCATCTGGCACTTCTTGTATATTTGTATTTAACGCTATCATTATATATGTTGTTGTATAATTGCTATAAAATGAGTAAAATGCCTTTTTGATAACATTATTTTATATCCCATAGTAGATTAAAAATATAAAAAAATGAGTATCCTTAAATTTGAAGTTTGAAGGGTTCGATCTCTAGATACGCACTTGAAACCAATACTCGAGTCCATATAACATAGCCTACAACGTCCTAGCTAGGACTTCTATATAACACCATCTCTATTGCCATTATTTTGACATCCTAGGCTCTGGGAGCAGGGCCTAGGTATAGTTTACAACTATTGCTTTTCAATGAATAAGTTCCTTCTATAGCAACAATTTGATATTTGAAATGAGTGGAATGGTATAATGTTCTTGAGTCAAGTTTTGAAATACTTGATCGTTACAGGTTTTAGAAAGGATTTTTTTTTTTTGGATATGTAGTTAAAATTTGAATTTTATATGCAACTGATTGACTGTTTTTCTTCTTTATATTTGTAAGGTAACGTTGAAGGGTCAAATAATCGGGACTTATCTGTTAATGTTGATACGTCTGCATCCTCCCACAATGTACTTCATGGAAATACTATCAGTGCCATGGATGTTGATGCAACTGTCAACATACCATTTGCATTGGTTGATGAGATAGCTGAGGCTTCTCCAGCACCTGAAGATGGCTTACAACTTGGAGACCAAATTGTGAAATTTGGGAATGTGGAATCTGGTGATGATTTGTTGCCAAAGCTTGCTTCTAAAGCTCTGTCCAATCAAGACCGCGAAATACCTGTAGTGGTTTTGAGGCAAGGTGCACTTATCAACTTAACAGTCACACCGAGAGCGTGGCAGGGCCGTGGCTTACTGGGGTATGTTTGTCATTCCACTTATGATTTGTTGCCAAAGCTTGCTTCTGAAGCTCTGTCCAATCAAGAATACCTGTAGCATAGTTCTAAATATCGGCCGATACGCTACGTATCGGCCGATACGTATCGGAAAAATGGGGTGCCGCGACGGATACAGGCCGATATACCACTGAGATTAAAAATCGCAGGAGTATCGGCCGAGTCCCGGTACGTATCGGCCTGTAAGCGTTACACAAGCCGCGACGGGCCGATACTCACCGGTTCGGACCGGTACGGGAAAGAAAAAGTTGAAAAACTTTTGAAATGATTTTTAAAATTTCACCCCCGCGACACCCGATTCCCGATACGTACCGATCGATACTACCGATACCGATACTCCGCGATCGATACCGTTACGTTACCCGATACCGCGATTTAGAACCTTGACCTGTAGTGGTTTTGAGGCAAGGTGCACGTATCAACTTAACAGTCACACCTAGAGTGTGGCAGGGCCGTGGCTTGCTGGGGTATGCTTGTCATTCCACTTTTGCAGTGCTTCCTTTTTTGTTTAGATTATCCATTAAGCCTTTTATACTGTCATTTCTAGCTGCATTTTGTGTGAAAATATTAGTATTTGCTGGTTGATTCTCACAATCATCACTCATATGTTCTCTTTAACATTTCTGTTGTGAGATATAAGATACATTTTGTCCTAGCAGATACTATTATTCCAAAATCTAGCTCCCTTATCCCTTCCAAATTTGAGATTAGGCACTTGCAAGATGAGTATATTTTGATGAGAATGTTATTGTGAAAAATTACTTCTGTTGCAGCCTCTAAAGGTTGACTCTTTTAATGTTTGTTGGAATAGATGGTTTCTGCCCATGAGGAGCAAGCTCAATGGGGGATGTTCAAACAAATTGTAGGCTAAAGATTCTGATAATTATTTTCTACATTATTAATCCTTAAGTTTAGGTCAAAGCAACCTTATGTGGAACAGTTGACAGAACAGAGATTTTA